TGCAACCATGCGCTTACACCTCCCAAAAACTCACTGACACAGAGAGATGCTGAGCCATATGGGAAAAGGAGGCTTTTGCGGTCCAGTGATCACGATTGATCTGGCAACACCTCCTGGAAGGGAGTAAAGTACCATTTGAAGTGTGCACTGATTATAAAAATTTGGAGGCACTTAAAACTCCTTGCAAACACTCTGAAGCAGGTTCAGTGGGCGCAGTACTTCAACCAATTTAACTTCACCTTGAAATACCTTCTGGGAGGAAAAAAAATCCTGGCTGATGCCCTCTTGAGAATGCCCAAGTACAAGAGCACTCAGGAGGAGGTAGTTAATGCAATTATTCCCCTTCCCCAGAAAGAGGCCCAGGTGACCACACGACAATGGGCCACACAACAACTGACCACACCAGAGGAGGAACTGATCCAGAAACTCAAAATCAAGTTTCAAAGTGACCCCTGGTTCAAGGAACACCCACAGTTCTTGACCATTAAGGACAAGCTGGCCTGGAAGGGGACTAAACTATACATCCCTAACAGCTTGTGGATGGAGGTCCTATGAAGGAGCCATGACCAGGGGTGGGATTCAGCCAGTTTGAACCAGTTCAGGCAAACCAGATGCTAATTTTACATCTGGTTCACTGAACTGGTAGTTGCAAAGACTGGCTGGCCCCGCCTACCCACCCCACCCCTCCCAGGAGTCTCCACGTGGCCTGTTTTGGATGCCAGGTAAGTGCAGCGCCCATACTGAGCTCTGGGAGGGCGAAAAACAGGCCTCCTGAAAGTTCCAGAAGTCTGGAAATGGGCCCATTTCTGGCCTCTGGAGGGCCTCTGGAGCCTGAGGGAGGCCATTTTCACCCTCCTGGAGGCTTGAGAAAAGCCGCCAGAGCCTGGGGAGTGTGAAAAACAGGCCTCCAAGAAGTTCTGGAAGTCTGGAAATAGGCCCATATCCAGCCTCCGGATGGCCTCCGGAGGGCCTCCGGAGCCCGGGGAGGCCATTTTCGCCCTCCCAAAGGCTCGAGTTAAGTCTCACCCTGCTGTGGTGCAGGAGGCCAAGTAGGCCACGCCCACCATGGCCATGCTCACCCAGCAACTGGACAGAGAACCAGTTGCTAAAATTTTTGAATCCCACCTCTAGCCATGACACCAGGTAAGCAGGGCTCTTTGGGTTCCTAAAAACCCTGCACCAGGTTAGGAGACAGTTCTAGTGGCCAAGGATGAAAAAGGACATTGAGAGTTATGTAAAGAGTTGTGCAACCTGTGCACCAATGAAGAAAAGACCAGGAAAGGCCCCTGGGTTGTTACAGCAAGTAGTCAAGCCCTGGGAAGAGATCATGATGGACTTCATAGTCAAGCTGCCCCAAAGTAGAGGGAATACCATGATTTGGATAGTGATCGACCTATTTTTCAAGCAAGCTCATTTCATCGCCTGGGGTCCTATGCAGAATTATTTCAGATCAGGGGGTCCAATTCATGGCTAAGTTCTGGAGGGAGTTCTTAAAGTCCATTGGGTCCTCTAGGGGGCTTAGTTCAGCTTTCCATACAATTACCAATTGGGTGGTGGAGAGGACTAATGCCACAGTGGAGCAGTACCTAAGGAGTTATGTCAACTACCAGCAGACTAATTGGACAGGACTACTGCATTTTGCTGTACGTCCAAAAACGCAGTGCACAGGAGCACTGGGCTTGTTATGTAAATAGGTTTGTTTGGCGGGAAGTTTGAATTAACTGACCCTCAGCTGATTGGCTGACCACCACAGCTGCAAGGTATATAAAGGGAGCTGTTTCCCTAGGTCAGTCGCTGGGTTCTCACCCTAATAAACAGAGCTGTTGCCACTCACTGCCTGGCTTGCTGCGTCCTTATTCACCCAATTTAACATTGGCGACGAAGGTGGGATTTTGAGGCCAGAAGCCAAGGAAAGAGCTGAAGCCACAACCGAAAAGAGCTGAAACCACGTTCCGAGAGAGAAGTGGAACGCCCGACCACAGAATCCAGCCAGGCGAGTGAGCGGAGCACAGAAGAATCGCGAACAATGTCTGCCTACACCCCGCCAGTGCCTTTCAACCCCAAGGAGGAGAAGTGGGGGTCCTACATGTCCCGGTTCGAGTGTTTCATGGTGGCCAACGACCTGCAAGGACTACCGGACGTGAGGAAGAAGGCTCTGTTCCTGAGCCACTGTGGACCACGAGTGTTCGACACAACCGAAGCCCTGGCGGAGCCGAACTCGGTCCACACCATATCATGGTCAACGCTGCAGACCCTGCTGAAAGACCACTATGCCCCAACGCCTTTCAAGTACGTCCAGTGGTACGAGTTCCGGCAAAGGCTGCAGCAGAACGGCGAGTTGATCAGCAAGTACATCACTGCCCTGCGTAAGGCCACAAACCAGTGCAAGTATCGAGACCTACATGAGATGCTCCTAGAGCAACTAATCTGCGGAGTGAGAGACGGCCGGCTACAACGGAGGCTACTTGCGAGATTGAACCTGACCCTGCACATCGCCCTAGATGAAGCAAGAGCACAAGAGTCATCCGTAAAGGCCGCCAAGGGACTGCAAGGGACCATCCATGGCTGGACAGCGCAGAGGTTGGCGACCGTACACAGTGAAGCCGTGAGCACTGAGAGCGAAGGGGAGTCTGAGGAGGAAGTCTACCGCACAGAGCAGTCCAGGCCAGATCAACGAGGACCCAGAGACAACTGCGCCAGTTGCAGAGGCCCCCACCCCCAACACAACTGCAAGTTCTGGGATGCGATCTGCTGGTTCTGCGAGAAAAAGGGGCACATCGCTCGAGTCTGCAGAGCCAAGCAAGCAAAGGGCCACAAACCACGTGGCCAAACCAGCCAATCCAAGATGGCGCTGTGCCAGAGAACCAATAAAGATGGTGGAAGCCAGAAGGGCGCGAAAATCAAAGACATAGAGGCCTACACCATCTGCATCAGCCAGAACTGCACATCCTCCGGCGAGAAGACCTACACCACAGTCGAGATCGAGGGTCATGAGTGCCAGATGGAGATCGACACGGGATCCCCCATATCCATCATGTCATGGGCCAACCTCAAGAAAGCCATCCCCAGCGCACACAAGTGGCAGCTCCAACCACAGTGACGCCGGCTTAAAGACTACCAAGGGAACTGCATCCCACTCGAAGGAATAGGTGAGTTCCAGGTACGATACGGGGGAGTTCAGCGAGAGACTCCCTCTCACCATCGTCAGCGGCAAGCTCCCAAGCCTCCTGGGCATGGACTGGTTTCGAGCCCTGGGCATTGGATTCACTGGAGTGAGGAACATCCAGAGCACCCTGAGGGATGACCTGATGCAGGAGTTCCACGACGTGTTCGACAAAAGGCTTGGCAAGTATGTGGGGACCCCTATTTCGTTCAATCTCGACCCCAACGTTGCCCCAATCCGTTTAAAGCCTAGGAGGGTGCCATTCGCCCTAAAGCCCAAGATAGACATTGAGCTGGACAAACTAATAAAGCAAGGGGTGCTTGTGCCAGTCGACCACGCCAAATGGGAGACCCCAATTGTGACACCCGTGAAACCGGACGGGTCAGTGCGCATATGCGCCTATTATAAATGCACAATTAATAAGGCCCTGCAACAGAGTGCCTATCCAGTCCCAATTGTGCACCACCTCCTGCATTCCCTGGGCCCCGGCAAGATCTTCGCCAAACTAGATCTTGCGCAGGCGTACCAGCAGCTACCAGTAGATGGCGCTACCGCGGAAGGACAGACTATTGTAACACATAGAGGCGCCTTCAAGTGTAGGCGCCTACAATTTGGAGTCAGCATAGCCCCCGGACTTTTCCAAAGTACAATGGAGAGGCTGCTTGAAGGGATCCCCGGGGTGGTTCCCTATTTCGATGATATACTCATCACGGCGGAAGACGAGCAACAACTGGGAGGGAGGCTGAGAACGGTCTTAGAAAAATTCAGAAATGCTGGACTCTGGGTCAAACGCAACAAATGCATGATCACTGTCCCCTCCGTAGAGTTCCTGGGGTACCGAGTAGATGGCACTGGCATACACCCCACTGAGAGTAAAATCAGGACAATCCTAGAGGCCCCCACCCCTAAAGACAAGGCGGAATTACAGGCGTTCCTGGGACTGCTTAACTTTTATGCTATCTTCTTAAAGGACAAGGCAACAGTGGCTGAACCCCTACACAGAGTGTTAGCCAAGAAGTCCACATGGACATGGGGGAAGGCCGAGGACAGGGCGTTTGCAAACATCAAGAAATTGCTATCAGCCGAGAGTTTCTTGATCCAATACAACTCAACGCTTCCCCTTGTCTTAGTCTGTGATGCCTCTCCTTTCGGTGTGGGAGCCATCCTGAGCCATAGACTCCCGCCCATCGCCTACTACTCCCGAACTCTGTCAACCGCCGAGAGGAATTACAGTCAGCTTGACAAAGAGGCCCTCGCTGCCGTCTCGGGAGTAAAGAAGTTCCACGAGTACCTGTTTGGGAGGGACTTCGACCTGATTACCGACCATCGCCCGCTCCTGGGTCTCCTCGCGGGAGACCGACCAACACCGGCAGCCCTATCGCCCAGGATGACACGCTGGGCCATCTGCCTCGCAGCCTACTCCTATCGCCTGGTACATCGACCAGGGGCGGACATGAGAAACGCCGACGCACTCAGCCGCTGCCCACTACCAGACAAGCTGGACGACCCCACACCCAGCATCCCCATCCTGTTGATAGACGTTTTGGACTCGGGGCCCATCACATCAGCAGAGGTAGCCAGAGCCTCCAACAAAGACCACGTGATCTGGACGGTCGCAAGTTGGGTGATGAGGGGGTGGCCGGAAAAGACTGGGAGTGGGGAATTCAAACAGTACGTGAGCAAACGGGATGAACTAACAATGCAAGGGGTGTGCTTGCTATGGGGCGAATGGGTTATTGTTCCCTTGTGCCTAAGGGAAAAAGTCTTAATACTGTTGCATGAGGGGCACCCTGGGATTGTACGGATGAAGGGACTAGCCAGGAGCTATGTCTGGTGGCCCAACATGGACACAGACATTACCGAGTGGGTGGGGAGATGCCAGCCCTGCCAAGAGTCTAGGCCAGATCCACCGACAGCACCGGTGAGGGAGTGGGAAAGACCCAAGGGGCCCTGGTCCAGGATCCACATAGATTTTGTGGGGCCGTTTCACGGGCAGACCTTCATGGTCATAGTAGATGCCTTTTCCAAGTGGCTGGAAATTAAGCTCATGAAGGCCACTACCACCGATGCAGTTATTAGGGAGCTGAGGCAGTTATTCGCTACCCATGGGTTACCGGACATCTTAGTGTCAGACAATGGGCCCCAATTCACGGCCACACAGTTTAAAGGGTATTTAGCGGAGTTGGGGGTCAGACACGTCTTCTCAGCCCCGTTCCATCCGGCTAGTAATGGACAGGCTGAGAGATTCATAAGAACGGCCAAAGAGGCCCTCTCACGCCTAGGCCCCGGGGACTGGCAGGAAAGAATAGATCGGTTCCTAACAGCCCAGCACTCCATGCCTTGTACAGCAACAGGCTGAAGCCCAGCAGAACTACTCATGAGGAGGAATCTCCGAGGGGTACTGGATAGGCTAAATCCCAATTATTCCCCCGAGGTTTTCAAGGGGGCGGGGAAAGGAAACTCAGGGAGTTCACCATAGGGACTCCAGTCCACGCCAGAAACTATGGGAAGGGCCCACTCTGGGAAGCAGGGACAATCACGGAGATCACGGGGCCCAAATCGTACAGGGTAGACATGGGGGACGGGAGAGTTTGGTGCAGGCACATAGACCAACTGAGAAGGCGAATCACAACAGATGCCGAGGAAAACTTCAACGAACCGCTCCCTGACTACCAGCCAGAACAACAAACTAAGTCAAGCCCGAGTGCAGCGAAGGACTTAGCTGACGATCCTGGCATCCGGAGCCACCCCAGCGAGGAGTTCCCGCCAGCCGGAGAAGTCGCCACCCACGAAGAGATCTTGGAGGTTCCATTGGCGGAGCAGGGAGAAACAGGGAGTCCCTCCGACCTGCTCGACGACGCCCCTCCGACTGAACTGCACAGGTCGATCAGGCTACGTACATGCCCTGGTCACCAGAGAGACTTTGTATGTAAATAAAACCCAAAGTGACTTTTGGGAGGGGAGGAGTGTTATGTAAATAGGTTTGTTTGGCGGGAAGTTTGAATTAACTGACCCTCAGCTGATTGGCTGACCACCACAGCTGCAAGGTATATAAAGGGAGCTGTTTCCCTAGGTCAGTCGCTGGGTTCTCACCCTAATAAACAGAGCTGTTGTCACTCACTGCCTGGCTTGCTGCGTCCTCATTCACCCAACTTAACAGGGCTTACCACCTTCAAGGTGGTCAATGGGGTAGACTACATCCCCATGCCAGAATACCCCCAGGAGCCTCCCTTTTCTATTAGTCTAATGGACTGGGTTGATTCATTGCAGAATTTGTGAAGGAATGTAAGGTGGGCACTGGCAGAAGCCTAGAAAGAGCAGGCTGATAAGAAATGAGCACTGGCAAAAGCAACATAAGCCTACAAAGAGCAGGCTGATAAGAAACAGAAGCCTACAAAGAGCAGGCTGATAAGCAGGGTCCACAGACACCCTTCCAGGTGGGGGAGGAGATTTATCTCTCCACAAAGTACTTAAGGCTAAAATTGCCCTCAAAAAACTAGATCCTAAGTTCTTGGGGCAATTCATCATCATAAAGGTAATCAATCCAGTTACTGTGGAACTAAAACTTCCCCACCTTTTGGAGAAGGTGCACCCAGTGTTCCACAATAGCTTGTTAAAACCAGTAGTTGGCTCTACATTGAGACTGATAGCTTCAGTGGCACCAAAGCCCATAATGATGGAAGGGGAGACCCATTATGAAGTAAAGTGGATTTTAGATTCTAGGCTTTATAAGGGGCAGTTACAATATTTAGTGCAATGGAAAGGATATCCTTTATCAGAGGCCACCTGGGTTAAGAGCACCAACATGAGAGCAGACAGGCTAGCAAAGAAATTCCATGATAAGAACCCTCAAAAACCCAAAGCATCAATAAATGGGGAGGGGATGACTGAAAGGGGTTTAATTGCTGTTTGTGATTCATATCTTACAGATGCTCTTTTCCACTTAACAGGAGCCGACTGTCAACTCTCGAAACAACTCTAGCTGAAGCCAAATTTTCCTTGCTTGGTTTCTTAGTTGCCATACTTATTGGGGGCAGGGGGACTTATGGAATGTAGAATGTTTTCCTCCAATGTGCCAGACATAACAACGATAAGGCCAACATGCCCTAGCAACAGCAGGAAGAAGTGCTGAGAAGTTCATCATCTGCTTGGTTGGCTAATGTGATCTGTGACACAAGGGGGGGTGGACAGTATCTATTCTTTAATTATACCAAAAATGTGGGAACTATTCGGTGTTGGCTTCACCTTTGACTGTGCTGATATGATGTGCCCAATAAACAGGATTTTTGAGGAAGCCAAGGCCTTGGAGTCTTGAATTGGTTGGGAGCATTACTTGGAACCATAACACTTTACTTGTTTCTTCTTAAAGTGAAACTTCCAAACTGTCCTTCTCAAATAATCTATTTCAATAATGGGGAGGGTTGTGTAAGAAGTTTTATGTTTTTAAACATTAACATTTATGAAGGGTTCTTGTCCTCTTTGACCTTGGTTGTTTTCTTGCAGATGTTTCATTATCCAAAGTATCCAAAGCTTGTTTGACAGTTCCTTGATTGGGGTATTGTTTACTTCTTGAGTATTGGTCTGATGTTAATCTTGGTGTTAATCTCTGCTCATCTGGGTGTTGATTGCTGGTGGGGGAGGTTTCTTGGTCTTTTTGTTCCTTTTTGGGCTTGTAGATCTGTTTTGAATAGAATGAAGATGCTATTTATGTCTATGTGCCTACTGATGGATGATTTGTCTGTGTGCCAGGCTTCTAGGAATTCTCTAGCATTTTTGGGCTTGGCTTAGTCTAGAATGGTCACAGTTTTCCAGTTGAAGCTATTATTAAGTCTGTCCATATCTTGTGAAATTAAAGAGTTTTCATCATGTCTTCTGATTACTAGTTGGTGTTCATGAATGTGCTCTCCAGTCTTCTGCCTATTTGTCCTACATAGTGGCTGTTGCAGTCCTTACATTGTATGTTGTAGATGACTCCTGTTTTTAATTCTGGAACTGCTGGATTTTTTTAGTGAATTTAATTCTTTAAATATCTTGTTGATAGTGCTGGGTCTGTTGTCTAGTTGGTTCTTTTTTTATTATGGTATAGGTGTCATCTACATACCTGATCCATATTTTCAGGAGTCCTGAATATGGATCAGATATGTAGATGACACTTTCACCATAATAAAAAAGGACCAACTAATTAAGGGAGAAGCTAGAGGTGAAATTGTTGGGCTTATTATTCCCTTTTAGAATTACATACTTTTACCAAACTTCGAATAATATTATGTTCTTTTACATTTTTATCCTTATTTTTATCTCTATAGCAAGATTATAATGGTATAACCTATAGTATAGACAGAAATGTACTTTTAGATTTGCAAGAGTCTGTTAATGCATTCTTACAATAAAGTAGAGCTAGTTCTTCTGACCATGCTTCTTCTTTGGACGACCTTGCAAAATTGACATCAAGGGCTTGGCCAGCGACACGGCGAAACGACACGAACTTTGGGGCTCCAGTGTGAGCACCGATATTTCAGTTGTTTTGGGGGTCCACAATGGACCATAGCTGACCCATAGGGACGGTGAAGAAAGGGGGCACAGGCTGGTGTGGACAGGGAAGCCACAAATTCCCTGTAGGTGACTCTACAGCTGGGAAGACAGCCATTGAGAGCTGTTGCAAAGCCAGGGCGGTCACGCATGAAGAAAAGGAAAGAGGAAACGAGGCACAACATCTGAGTGAGGAGGAAATTTCTGTCTTGGAAACAAGACCTCTATTTTTAACAGACACCCTGAACTTAAAAAGAAAAGAATTAGAAGTGAAGAGAAATGGCAAGAGTGAAAGGGGAGGAAGTGGATATCCAGCTACCTCCCCATTTCCAGGCTAACGGCAAAAGAGCAATGGCCATAAATAAAAGCTAATTTTCTCCCAAAGGGAGAAAGGGGGGTGGGGGTAAAAGGGAAAAAGTGAGATTATTATAAAGATAGAGGAGAAGAGATAGAGGAAGGAAGAGAAGGGGAGGAGAAGAAGAAAAGTTGTGGCAAAATAAAGAAGGATAAATGGTAAAAGAGCAGCCCCAAACAATTAAACATTAAAGTTAAAAGATAAGATGAATGAAAAATGATGGATAAATGACTGTACAGCTAAATATGTTTATGAGAAACAAAAATAAAAACTTTTTTGGAAAAAAAACAAAATTGACATCAATCTTGCTAGTCTGAAAGTACATTCTCCTCCCCCCCACCCTTGATTTTATAGACTGAAAAACTAGAGAGGAATCCTTCTCAGACATTTGCCATGTTAACATTTCTGCTGCAGGCTAACCTGGCTCTTAACTGACCATTGCCCTACCTGCCCGTCCTCTCCCCAATGTCTCCTGAAATTCATGCCCATATTCCATTACAATCTGGTTGTTAGATAGCTTATTCAGCTAAATATCTTGGTTTGCATATGAGAGACAACAGTCAAGAAATGTACCAAAATAAATATGTGAAATTGCCCTGCAACCAGAAGCAAACATCCATGTCCCTAATCAATGTCATTTTGTCACTGAAGCATCAATGATCATGCAGACAGCAAGAAAATGGAAAAGACTGCTCACACATTGGATCATTAAAACACAGGCTCAACTTTGGGATGGTGATGAGATGAACATGCCTTCAGGACATGTCCTTAAAGGACTGTTAGCAAAGTGTTTTCAAGCCACCATTAGTGGGCACAGGTGGATGAGTTCAATATCACCCTTTTCATTGACATATGATTTGTCAGCAAGAAGAACATATTGCTATCCATTAGTAAACACACTCTGAGCATAAATTTTCTAAAAATCATCATTAGAAAGCCTTACAGTGTCCACATTCACTCATGATGTTGAATATAAAAATTGCCTTACTACCAACATTGCTCACTGAAACAATCCTGTCTGCTCTGGCTCACACAAATAAAGATGTGCACCTGTCACTCACAGAAATGAAGTTGCGTGCATGCACATGCCTGCCCCTCACACAAAACCATTCCCTCCCCCGCCCCCGCTGGGCCACTAACCTAGAAAGGTTGGGGAACGTTGGACTAGACAATTGAAAATGACTTGCCTTCAACATTCTGTGAAGGAGTGAAGTGCAGTGAGATGCTGGGAAGCCCCTCTAGGGATCCTGGAGCAGTTAGAGGATCAAGCAGGTTTGTTATGATGGGAAACATGAGATATGGCTAAACATGTGGAGTAGGCCATTATTACAGAAGAATGAGTAGCAATTTAGCATTGTTTCCTCTTATTTCAGAATCTTTGTCTCACTGGGCTCAATTACTCCGTAAAAATATAATGATTGCATACATTTATTGATTCACAACTTGAACACTGTTGTTCCTGTATTTCAGCACAA